CTAGAATTCAAAAGTGGCGCGAGTCAATAATTTTTATACTTGAGACGATCAGTTAGTCCAAATAAAATCAGATACGATTTTCAAGGTGCTACATATATAAGTAGTTTTTATTATTTATATGACCAAATTAACGCTGCTCATACGAGCTGCGGATTTCTATTTTTAAATCACAAAAAAGTTAATTTTTCAGCAATCTTCAACTCGAGTGTGCAAAGAAAAGCAAGCTCTTAAAACATTTTTTGAATTTTTGCTTCTTAATATACGATTTGGCGTCACTCGAAAATACTTGTGGCATGATCGTAATTCTCACGTGCACTTGACGAAAGTACCATGTAATTGTCGACGCCTACGCCCAAACCCAAACCACACAATCGGATTATTAATGTGTCTGCGGACGAATGATTAAACTGAACGCAATAATTCACGTGGAAATTAATTTCACGAATGACAGCGGTCATTTTATACATCTTTTTATTACCGCGTTGGTATCGGTCGCATCATTTATAAAAATTATTAATCCGAAAAGTGCCATATAATCCAATCATCGAAAATTTACGATGTTTTGATTGTGCACTTACCGAGGAAAACAAAGTATATTTTCTGTCTATAACAGGAGCAGAGAGAGAGAGAGAGAAATAAAGTAAGACCGAACAAACGTACATGTCGAGGCGTCAGCTAGTGCTCAAAGAATAAAGTTTGAGCTGAAACGTAATTACTCGCAAGCTTTCTCTCTCTCTTTCTCTCTTTTATCTTTACTTTATACTCCACCATCGTTCTTTGTAGCCAGTGAACACTGCCACAGAGTTACAGTCAATCTTTTTTTTTACTTTCGATATAAAGTACGTATACAGTTGGCGACGTTTTGTTTACTTTCACGCGACACTCTGGCCACGGATTTTCAAGAGTCTTTTCTCTTTCCTCGCTGTTTACTTATCGTTGGCGAAAAATCTTGTATTTTGCCCCCTTACTCGTGAATTCACAGCGCGAACGAGCGAGCGCGGATAAAGCAAAACTGCTTCTCTTACGTGTGTATAAACCCTTACAAATTAAATTAAAAAGTAACGGAACCAGGACTTGAATTTAGGGTACCAAAACTATAAATCCGACATCTTGATCACTAGACCGACACAGCGCACTAATATTAATCGAAGCTCCTTGTTGCGTCTCCCCATTTTTATATACTACGTTGATTTACATGACATTTCCATATATTAAGCGACCGTATCTCGTGATGGTTTTCTCTATTGCAGGGTTGCAAAGATAAATTAATGGACGGGTCAGTTCCTAGATTTTCTTTGTTAATTGTTAGTTTTGTCCAATTCAAACTTTTTTGACTAGATTCGTTTTCAAATAATACAGACTCAAAATTAAGAAAAACAGTACTAGAAACGTAGTTTTTATTGTTCCACTCGTACTTTTTTTTCGTTAAAACATTCTAACATTCTCGGCCATCTCTCGTGCCTGATCTGAAGTTTACTTACATCTTGTAATACTTTACTCTCTCGAGGCTAGAACTTCTTTTTCTCACATGGCAAGCAATTTCGAAAGCTTTTAAGAGACATTTCTCTGACGAAAATGCAAAACACTTAAGAGCATTGCTATTTGTATTTTTCTAGCAAGACTCGTGTGCACTTATGTCGGATATCGTTAATTTGCAAAAATACGCTGCTGCTAAATTATTTTTTCAACTTTTGAAATTGAATTATATTCGCAAGAACGAATATGGTTTCATTATACGACTGAATTATTAAATTTTCACATTGAGATCTGTGAAGAAGCTATAGCTTTTTTGTTGCCTTGGCCTTGCAATCTCCAACTTTTACACTTGATCCTGAAAGTATACTTATACAACAGTACTGCACAGCTCTCTCGGGATAATCAACTGCTTACCGAGAATTTTCTTGCCGCACGCGACTCGAGAGATCGAATGCAAAAAAGGGGGCTTACTCTCAACTCACTCTGCCGCTGTCGTCAAGAGGTCGGGGACAAAAAAGGAAAAACTGAAAAAATGGGGTCGAGAAATTTTCCGGTAGACCGAATCTACTTTCCAACTGCTGCAATTAGAAATAGCCTAGCGCGCCTGTTCATTTTCAAGCTTTTTTTTATCCTCTTTCTCTCGTTCTCTCGCGCGCACGCGCGCGAACCACGACCGCAATGCAGGTTAACGAAAAATTTATTTAAACTTCAGATATTAGATTTCACCCTAAAAAATGCCAGGAATTTCAAGCATTCAAGCGATATTTTTATCCGTCGATGGTCATAAATCTTTCTTCGGATCACTGAAATACCTTACTGGATAATGATGTGTCGCCAAAATTACATTGTCAATTCTGTAAACCGCGGCTAAAAATAGTTGAGCGTCGTATGCGTGATATTTATGATTCGTTATAAAATCCGTATTATTATACAATTTAATTTATTGACATTTTCTCTGACAAGTGAGTACCCATAACTTAAGTTGCATGAGTGTGTGCGCGTGTGCGTGTGTCTGTGTGTGTATGTGTGTGCCGCAGTTTATATTGTAATGGCCATAGCACTAGTCACGCTATCCATTAACGTCACCATATAATACAGGCGCTGCGGAAATTGAGAGCAATAACAAGGAATCGAGTGGCGTGCGTAGGTAGTGGTAGCGTGCACGCATTGAACACTTGAAATCCACGGAGTTTCGAAGTGGACGACAAGGACGAAAACGGCATAACAGTCGACACAATAACGATGAAAGGTAAACAGCTCCGACGACCTATATGGCAGGTGGCAATGAAACTGGACGGGAGAGCGCGAGCGACATGCCGAATTCACGCTCGAGAATTAGTATTACAGACACGTAGATCGAGCGAATTTCGCTGACTGTCCTGTTTCTACTTCGTTGAGGCTTGAAACGAAGCAACTCCCGTCATCGCATATATATATATATATATATATATATATATATATATATATATATATATATATATATATATATATATATATATTCTATGCCATTACGATATCCATAATAATCTCGATTAAGGCTCTACGGGTCATGAAGTCATTTGAGAATCACCCAGGTTTGTGAGTACGTACACTGGAGAAAGACAATTCGTAAAGATAGACAGTCAATGGTCAATCAGCCAACTACACAAATATTCTATTAATATTGATGAGCGCGACAAGCCAAGGATCGATAATTGAATTATCGCCTCGAGAAGACGTCTTATCTCGATGCAAATTGCGATTGGAGAGACTAGCTAGCAGCAACTGACAGTCGTGACCAAGATTATCCCCGGATTCTCACCTCGATAACTCGAATACAGCACATTTTCATCAAATCAGACATTTTTCCAGCGAGGCATCCAATCAGCAATGAAGCTTGAAATGCGCTAGAAATTAGTGCTGAGAGAGCAAGAGCTGGCGACAAGACGCGCAAACTGCCTGGGGCAGACTAGCGGCTGGCTAACACAGCGGCGGATATAGTTGGGGGAGTAGCGCAAATGTAATCTAACTAAAGTCAGTTCTGCATAGCGTAAGGAGAGAGAGAGAGAGAGAGAGAGAGAGAGAGAGAGAGAGAGTGAGAGAGAGGGATGGGGAGGGGGGGATGAGCAGCTGCTTTGTAGGCAGCCAGCGGCCAGGAATTAATGTTAGCCACAATCCCCTGGTTGCCAAGCCTTCCTCTCGCTGGCAGTGTAGTCAGCCACGCGCGCAATCCGCATCGCGCCTCCGTTCACAACCAACACCCCGCCCCCTTGACTTCTGACCGCGGTTATGCCACACGCTGCTACTCCCAGTGTCTATCGCCTCGTTACCTTCCTCCTACCCAAATTTCCGTATTTGACTTGGAGTTGATCGCGAGAGTACTCGTGGAGTGTCGAACGTTTACCGCTGATGTCGCATTTCAAACAAATATGAAGAATTAGTTCCCTGTCCGTAATTCCACAGAATCGGCCATGGCCGCTACTCGGTAAAAGTTTCCGAGAAATAGCCGACGCGGCGATCCAACGTAAATTCACAAGGCAAAAGTCTTCGTGGGCTGACGGAGCTTTCAAGTCCAAGACTCTCGCGGACCGTTCGGCTTTAAGCCGGATCACACGCAGGCGACTTTTCTTTCCGCCGCTCAACGTCGCTACTACCGGGCAAATGCTCTCGCCGTATGCGAAAATTATGCGCAGATGTCCGTGAAAGCCGACGACACACGATTCGAGTTCTTTACTAATGGACTCTCAGAATCGCTTGGAATAAAGTCTTCGTTCCGAAAAGCCCAAGTTAATTTCACGTGAGATTTGGTTTTTGTCTTATCCAGCGTTCCACTTCCCTTCGCTTCGCGTGGGCTTCGAATACCGCCGGTGTACGCCTTAGTTGAATTCCTCGGCGTAATGAAGTAAAGCTTCTTCTTTCCCACCAACCGCAGGCGATATCCAGTGGCTCTCCACCACTCTAGCTTTTGTGACAGAGAAAGAAAAATGTTTTCTACGTTCTTATCGGAGCGACTGAGAGAGACAGAGAGAGAGAGAGCTGTAATCCGCTTCCGTTGTTTACGCGCGTGTCTCTCGTGTCTGCTCTGCCGAAGGGGGTACGTGGAAAGGCGTTGCTTCGTAACGTCTAAGTGGTTTATTTTAGGGAGGGAAATTTCGAGGGATTGTCTGTTCTTTCTGCCGAATGATCACTTTAAAGATACGCGATGCATTTTGAGATATCCGAGTGATGGAACGCATAAGGTTTGCGTACGCGATCAATTTCCTGCATACAAATGGCGACACTAAAAATCAAGTTTGGCAAGGATTACTATTATAAATTATCCTAACAAAGTCATGCAAATAATAGAGTGTATTGTTGTGTATGAAGAAAAATTTAGTTAACATGTAAAAGATATAAATTAATAAATATGCATTTCTTTCAGAATTTCATCGTTTTTATTACAAAATATATCAATACGTATAAAATTTACATAATGTCAAACATACATTACTATGTACAAATCATGCACTTTTTAATGTAATTTATTTTATAACATGTTTCTTTTTTGGCGGAACCTAATGCATTATTCATTTTTTTTATTATAGATTCTCGCGCGATTCGTGAGAAATATTACGAGCAACTATTAAGTTTTCTCTTTGCTAACTTATGAAAAAACCAATTTTCTTATTGGTATTCAAAATTTTTTTAATTTGATCAAATAAAACATCTTTCGATACGACAATTTCATAAAACATTCACTTTTACATATCGCAATAAAAATTCGAATCATTAACATGATAATATAAACTATATTTATATTGGCAGTGTTTTTAATGTCATTGTTGAAAATAATAATTGAAATTGTAATATTTTCATGAGTCATTTACACTGCTAATGTTGGAATGTAGTTATCCGAACTTTATAAATGTATGCAAGTGCCTACTGTTCAAATAATTGTAATTCTTAGGTGGCATCAATCTAACGAATTACCATTACCAACTGAACTTTAAAAAATGTCGTCCATGATTCATTATTCACTCACTCAAGTTTGCGAAGATAACAAGTTCTTATAAAGTGAAGAACAACACTGAGACAACAAGTCTTTTGCAATCAACAAACGGTAACGATTGACAGCTTCGTCGTCGTCGAAGCTTCCTGTTGATTGTTATACTTCTTGCATTTGCGTGTCGATGAGTAACCGTCGATAGACTTCTTCGAGCGTCAAATATGCAATGATTTCTCTTGGTTCATCTTGTGTCGTGCTGCGCATAAGCTCAGTCCGAAACAGAGTAAAAGTAACGCCACGGAACCAACCAATAAATAACTAGACCACGACACTGAGCATTTTCCTGCAACATGTTTTTCGAATGATATTTTAATGACGCGCACTAGTTTCATAATTCGATCCAACGATAATAATTTAAGCATCTGAGGTAATTTTTACTAATTTTCAAATACCCATGATTTTACTTACTTTACGATAAGAAAAAAAACGAACGAAAAAGTGCCGACTCACCTAAACTGTAGACGCCGGCCCTTTTGCCGCAGGAATCACGTATTTCACGATTGTCGAAACCAATCGGGTACATTACTAGACCGCTGCAAATCATTGTAGCTGTGGAGAAAAAGATTTGACATTAAAGAAGCGGTTGTGGAAATTCCATTTATTACTTTTCATTAAAACGCAATTTTTCTTTTACAACAGTTCTAGTATATTCAAATAAGTGTACAGTACAGTTGAGTTTTCAAGTACATCCGTATACGTTGAAAGCAATTTGATCCAAATTAAAACTAAATGCCTTGTCAAACTTTTGATAAGATGAAAGCACTAGAATAAACTCATTCATAAGTTATTAATTAATCAAGTTTTGAAGGCGAGGCTTACTCTTAAAGAGTTTTCGAGTGATCCAATTGAGATTCACAGTAGAAAAAACAATTGGTTGCTTTGAGAAAGTCTTCTGCATTATAAAAGAAAAAAAAATCTCGATAATAAAAATACAGACGATAAAAAGCATAAGTATGGCTCTTGCGATCGAATCTCCGAAAGTGCAGTTCTGAACGGTCTAAAAGCTAGAGAAATCTGGATTTTCTCCCGCTCTTTTCCGCACTCAACAGCTAAACTTGCATCGCATTGCTTGCAATCTTTCCTAACTCTATTTGATATTGTCAAAGAATGACATGAATTTATACTTTGAATCTACACTAAGAACCGAATAAGGATGAACGACTATCGATTTCTCTGACGTTACTCGCCACTGCGTGTTCTAAATAAAAAAAATGTACGCATGGAAGTTTCAAAAATAAGTTACCAACGTGAAATGCACGCTCGAGAGCAGTAGGAAAACGTGGTTGCAGGAGCAAAACTTACCAGCGACAAGCTGGAGAGATCCGAGCAGACGTATGTGCCTGGGTGCTTTGAGAACGTGAGGCAGAAAAGAGACAGCCGCAGCGAGAAGGGTGAGAGTGCCGATGACCGCGACAGCCAAACCGAACGTCAACGTCACTGTGCTGGCCTGCCACCATGGGCTCGGTATGTCCCAGAAACTGCAACGTCAGGTTGATTTTGAAGTACGACGATTGCTTTTGCCAGTTCCAACATTGCTTTGAAGCTCGGTAACGCATCAAAAGAACATTTTTTCCTCGCGCGCTCTTTCTCTTTCTCTCTTTTTCTCTCTCCCTTTCTTTCTTTTCTCCCCTTTCTCTCTTTTTTACGAGTGACGTGGAAACCCCTTTGACGAAAAAATACGCGTGTACTTCCCTCTTTACCAGCAGACGTGTCCGTCAGTTTGAAAATTTTAAATTCTACAGACGCGAGAGAGAAAGCTTGCGGTATAGAGAAACATACGTTTGTGGTGCTCGCACGCACGGAAGCAATTTCGCTCATGGAACACTGCATGTGACGTGTTTATTGTTCCCAATCGAGCATGCGCGCACAATCTTCGTTTATACGTTTAAATAATATACCGCGCTTCAACATAATTGCTTTTAGGATTTTAACTCGCCTTTCGGATTTTTTTTCTGACTAGCTAATTTATTTTTCGAAACTCTGATATGTATAAATAACATAAAAAAGTTACAGCCGTTGAAGTAGTAGAAGTGTATATATAGTTAGACATCGATAATTGAACTCAAACGTTTAACATTTTTTCGTTGTTTTTTTTTTCATTACGAGAAAGAGAATATAATTAGTAGGATAGAATTTGTAGTTTTTACAATGACATTCAGAAATTAATCAAATGAAAAACTTTATTTTCGGTTACAAGCACGAAAAAATAATTTTTATAATTACATTCCTAAAAAACAAAATTTTGCCTATGAGCGACGCTTACGATGCATAAAAAATAACTATTGAAGAGAGAGAGAGAGAGAGAGAGAGAGAGAGAGAGAGAGAGAGAGAGAGAGAGAGAGAGAGAGCGAACATATCGGGAAACCATTTAAATTTAAAAAAGAAAACAGATTGAAATGAAAGAAAATAGATTAATGCTCACCTTGAGTACCTAGCGCACTCGTAAACTATCTCAGGGGTGTTGTAAGACGGTCGGAACCTCGGATAATTACAACGACGAAATGAGCTGAAGTAAGCATCCACTTTGCCGAGGAGTTTCCCCTGCAACACGCAAAATTATGCGCAATCTGTTAGGTTCATCCTTCACTCGTTCACGCAGTACATTATATGCGACGCGTAACTTTCTTAAGCCTGTGTACGCAATGTAGACCTACATTCGCAAAGTATACTTGTACGTGCAAGCTGAACTCGAGTGACAACGCCTAACTTAGGTGCGAATTGTAATGAGATTAGACGCTCGCTCGGATGGCGCTCAAGTTTTTGTTTATGCTCGCTCGAATACTGGGATCGTACTTGTTAACTCTATTTGATCGATCTTCGTATTGGGACTACGAGTTTTGGAATAACAACATTTACTGAAGCTTTCGCGAAACTTGGAAAGCGTTAATTCACAAATATACGCTCATCGATATTTTATTTATTCGTCAAAAAACGATTTAAAAGCCATAATGTTTGTTACTTTGTCCTTAGTTTTTGAAGTCCTTTTTATATCAGTTTAAGTTTTTATCCTTTCAGAGATACGAGACTTGTTGATAGTAAAAAAGTAAACTATGATAGGCCATAATACGAAAGGTCATTTTCAAATAACCATGTAGAATACGTTCTATTACTAGCCATCAGTTTGTATTGATTTCAGACGATACAGCATCTAATTTTTACAACGCAACGTGTAATAGGTCTCGTTTCGATCAATGCCAAGAGATTAGATTTTGAATGAAGCCATTCGTAATGAACACGAAGCATATGTATATATATACGCAGATGCAGAGCAATATAGATTCCCATCTCTCTGTATGAATAATTTATCTTTCGTCTATGATGTTTATGCCAAAGCACACGACAGAATGCTCAATGCATATTAACAATCTGTGCGTCATTATACAAAATGTGCGTGTTATTAACGTTGCATAATGTAGACCTAAAAGCGAACGCGTATATTTGTAACATCAATGACGCTTCTCCGCGATCGAGGAAATACCTTTCCACGTCATTGAATTATTCACTGTAGGTAGCCTCTCAAATTTGTTTGATAATTCGACATAAAAACGATATTCGCACCAATATTCGAAAACAAGTGCGTACAGCGTTAACACGCTGACGATTATCCGTGCAGCGCGATGTACTCGTACACCGTCGTGTGTGCTTTTATGTGGGGCAGTGCAATCATCACGATAATTCGATCTGACTGACGAGTGCAGCTTCTGCTGTATATGTGGCGCGAATGGATCAGCCAGCCGCACTCGTGCTCGCTGCAACATATTTATCAAAGTCGACACTGCAATGTGGCGTACATTGCTGCGAAACTCGATTACATTTTAACTCGGAATTTTTTATCCTTCACACCTTGCGGCTTCGGTTCACGCGTGGTATCTTTATCGAAATTTATTGTTTTACGCTCGTTCAGAGATCGCGAGATCAAATTTGATCGAACTAAAATGTTTGCGAAGAAAAGTAGCTTTTCACATCAATGTGTCTTCAAAGTGGAAAATCTGTTGAATTATTTCTTTTTAAAGACAATTCGTTATTAAGTTTTCTTCCATAGTCCTAGCCAATGTATTAATATTTATGACTGAATTTTCATCATTACCCGCAAGATTTGAAAGTGCAAAAGTAAGTCATTAGCATACCTATAACAACAGAACTGACTAACTGCCAGCAAGGCGTGGCATTTTCCATTATGTACAATGCGCCAAAACTTTTACCCATTTTCTTAGGTATAAATTAAATCTAGAACTTCCTCTTCTCATCCTCTTCCTCTTTTGTTTTCTTAATTCTCGTAAATCAAAGTCTTTATTTTGAAGTTTTCCAGCGAAACTTCTATTACTCAATCTATGGTTCTAGTAAAATTACTCATTACGAGTTCATGATGACGCGAGTTAAGGGGACAGCTTTTATAAGTGGTTTTTTTTCAATAAATAAATACTTTTTAACATTAAGTCGTTGGTTTTTTGTTTGTAGTATGACTTATGATTGGAGATGTACCTTGCACACCAGAAGAATACTTCAGATATGTCGGACAGAGCGTTGATTAATACTACTAAACTGAAAATTCATAGCTGTTGTTATGAACAATATCCATGATTTTTTGATAAAAATATCATTGAATGAGTTATTGACAAAAAATAAAGCTTTAAACATTGTGCAATAATATAAATCGATTAAAGAGTACTTTATTTAATTTATTATATCGAGCGCACACTCTTCCCCTACTATACTAATAATGCTAAAAGCAGACACAGCACTAAAAATAACATGAGGAAATATCGTTAAAATTTACGATACGTTAATGCATTTTTCAATTCGATAGCAAAAAAAGACTGATACCATCAGGCAAAAACGCCATCCTATCTTGTTACCAAAGGTATGTAATGTATACAAACCTCTTTTAGCAACACTGTTCCATGTACTTTTAATATAAATTTTTTACGACTTAATGTATATATAGTATTAGTGCTAATAAAGTTTACATTTCTTACGTAGTGACGTATTTTGGAGAAAAAAATTATTTGTTTGAAATCTGTCACCGTGCAGAAAGAAAACAATTTATCAATATTTCGTTTCTCTAATTTTTATTATATATCACTGTCATCAATTCATAGTAACACACAAAAAGTTAGCATCTATTCAACTCTATTAAATTTAGCCATACTTTATTTTCCTAAAATATTAAACATTGCATTTTTAAGCGATCTGTTTTGAATTTGTTGATCAAACATATACTGTATATAAACTTTGACATACAATTAAAAACTTAACTAATCTGTTTAGGTCAGTAGATGAGATACAAGGTAGAAGTTCAAAGCCTAAATGGAAGAGAAAGAACAAATACTAACGGAAATAAAGCTTTGTTTTAACAAACCTGAATCCAATAAGGCATATAGAATCCAGTACAGCCGAGTATTGTAGCAAGCGTTGACAGCATTACCCAGACGATGCACAGAGCTGTCATCGTCCTCGAAACTCACCGGACACTTGTCCTGCACGATAATGCTGCTGCTGTCTCGTCGGCTTGCGCTTATGCATACACTGCTCTTTCCTCGCGAATTTATCTACAGCGACTTCGTATCGTAGCGCACAGGAGTGTCCCATTATATCACACTTCCACTTTTTCGTTGCCACCTCATTTGAGATTATCGTCTTGTCGTTTCATTGAAACCTGAACTATTTATTCGATTAACAGTGAAGGATCCTTCCTTTTCAAGGGTAGTTTCCGATTTCTGTTTATCCGGTTGTGTTATCCTCCAAGTACGTCTATATTTCCAAATAAACGCTTCAAAATAACAAATTTATGTGGAGGTCTCAAATTATTAGAAAAACTTGCGAGCTCTAAAATTTTGCGCACAAATTCTTGTAAACTATTTATTCTGCGAAGATAAGCAACTAACTTTGAAATTATGTCAATTTCTTTTATTTTGTTATCTTTTAAACTATTGGCATTTTCAAGCATAAATAAAATTAAAAATGTATAATTTATAATGTGAAGCTTCTATCTTTCTAATTTATAAGTTCGCAGAATCCTCGGTTCTCGTGTCACACATGGAAAAACATGAATCCACTCGCGTCACGCATTATCAAGCCTCATAACTGAGCGCATAGTTTGAGTGTCGGTGAGTATGCAAGCGACGCGCTTGGCGTCGAAGCGACGACTGAGCCCCGCCGCTCTCTGCATTCCGTAGGCCAAGCTCGTAGAATGCAACCTCTTCCTACCACCACCGCCACCGCTATATCGTTCTCTCTCGCGCGCTCTCTATCTCTCTCTCTCTCTCTCTCTCTCTCTCTCTCTCCACCTCACGCAAGCGCGCGCATCTATACTGGCACGTGATGTTTTTAAAGGGGAGCACTTCTCCTTACTTTACTTCGGTTATCACTCCACGGTTTTGCTGCGGTTGACAATTCTTTTTCTTGTTTGTTCATGCTGATAATATTTCATTTGAGGAATTTAAATGTCGCCGAAAAAGGATTAAGTTTTAATAAACATCTTTTGAGGATCACTCAGATATTTATAAATTATCATTTCAATTTTACTTGATATTTTAATCCAAAAACCAATATCCACCCAAGTTAAAACTTGATGAGATGTAGAGAAAAACAAAAAGAAGTATCAAAAGAACTATTTTTCAAGTCTGAATAACTGACGGGTATCCGAACTCAAAAACTCAAAGATAAAGAAAAGTTTGTCTAGGATTCCAACGAAATATTTCACTCTAAAAAAGAATGAAAAATAAATGGTAACCGTATTTTTGCTAATTTTGCTTCTTTTTTATGCACGAAATATTTTGTATAATTATCGTACTAAATGATAGTTACTGGAAACCCCTACCTTCAAAAAAATACAAGAAAATATTGATTTTTTATATATTATCGATTTGAAAAATAGCTGTAATAAAATTCGAACAATCCTACAGTTTTGTATCAAACTAAATCACTCTTAATTTTGAAACATGATAAATGGTAAAACGAAGAGAGGCATCAAAATTTTTTTTTAAATTGTCTTATGGAAAAAAATATACTACAATTTCATACTCTTTGATTGATGCTTTATATGACTAAATTAGTATTTTACGTTATATGACAAAATTTTTAAAACATTGTAGAAACGAAGATAACTGTATGACGGATTCCTCGTGAGTGAAATACGCCAGAGTACAATCCTAAAAACAATAAATTTCCTGCAAAAAAAACATCACGTTTTCCTGAAACGAGAATAAATTTTTGTATGTTAAACGACGAGAAATAAAGTTGCAGAGTGATATTATTTTGGGAAACAAACAAAAATAGCAAATGAAAAAGAAATACAATCAAAAGTTCACTTACCTCGTTGATTACGCAGCTCGCATGCCGAAGTACAGAGAGAGAGAGAGAGAGAGAGAGAGAGAGAGAGAGAGAGAGAGAGAGAGAGAGAAAACGAAAATAAAATACAAAGCCGCCCCTGGCTAGCTAATTCAGTGCGTACATCAGCATTCGCTATCTCACCGTCATGGCTCGAGCAACGAAAAAGAAGAAAACAAAGCTGAATAGATTCAACGGCGCCGGTACAATAGCGCACAACCTTATCAGAGGCTTACATTACATACGCATAATGCAAGGCAAAGAGGAAACGCGAAAGAAGTGCTGATTGCGTTGGGCGCGAGACTCGACGGATCGCGTGTTCACGTCCACTCGCGCTTTGTTGCTGTGGCTCCACAGCGACGTCGCGGGACGCGGACGAAATCAAAAGAGGATATAGGAGTTACGCCGCAGTCGGAAAGAATTATCGCGCCGTTGTTTATACCCGTGGTGATATCGCGTATGCAGAGTTATGCAGATTAGCTTTGTGTATTTATTAAATTTTCTTTTATCTCTCTCAGCCTGGAAAGCATCGTAAAAGCAAATTTTTTTTCTCTTCACTAGTGCAGAAATTTGTCCTTCGGCAAGAAGCTTACACGATCCGATAATGAGATTATTGCAGCTTGTCGGCTCAGCTGACACGTAATTGAACTTTCGCATATAACAGCATGATTTGTCGCCAGTGAAAGTTAACGACGTGATTTCTTGGATTAAGGCTTTATTGCCCAGCTAAATCAAGCGTTTCTCTCAGCATTAAGGTTGAATCATTAGTTTTCTCTATCACTTGCCCAAAAGACAAATTGACAGAAAGGGCTATTTGCTACTGTATTGGAGTACAACGAATCAGTTGTCCTTACTCTCTATTTGTGTTTCGCTCACAGTGGTCTGTCGGAATGTTTGGGGTCAATCATAAATCACTCTTATTTCGCATACATTCCCTTAAACATCATATAGCAAGCAAATAATATACTTACAACCTTTATCTTCTTTACATTTCATTATTTCATTCAAGAGATCATAAGAAAAATATGCCACAAGACGATTCTCAGCGTCAATGAATATAGCACATTGGATGACCGCAACGCGCGGCGCATAGCTCGGGCGATAATAGCGTAAAACCGCAAGCGCCTCAAGAACAATCTCGAGACCCAATCCATGGGAGAGCATGTGTTTCCACCACAATCACGATCAGCTACCTAGTTAATGATCGTCACATTGTCAGCGTGATGAAGCTATACCGTAACTACAACAAATTGATCGAACAATGTGATGCGGCTTTGTAAAATGGGAAAAAAACTGCTCTGTCATTCTACAAAGTGAAACTCGAAGTAATAAAGCAACGCCAATTATCTTCTGCCAACAAATTAATCTTGAATTAAGAGCGCGGCCCTCTAACGCAGAAAGAAAAACGCCGTTGTTTCCTTATTTTCTTTTTTCATTCACTCGAACCAATGGAACCTGTGCAATAATTGCATTGCAGCGTGTGTATACAATACACAGCAATCGATTTCTATCGCTGGGAAAAAAACACGCCACTTTAAAATTCCTCCCCAAAGACTTCGATTATCTGGATGAGCGCGTGTCTCTCTTTTCACGAATATCCCATGGGTATATTAACTCTCCCATTTCGGGATAAAAAGTTCGAATTTCACCGTACACAAAAAGCAAAACGCAAAAATGGCAATTAGCTATTGCTTACTTTTCGCGTACCTTATTATTACTGCTCGAAGATTTATGTTCGTCGATAGCCGCGCCTACGTTTCGATCTCGGTAAACTTGTAATAAGGGAAGCCATTTTGTTTTTTTTTCGAAATCACGTCCGATCACACCGCGTGGCCAAGAAAAGCAAACTCGCAGCCAATATATATTTCGTAGATATCCGCGGAACTCCCAAACGCAATCTCGAAAGCAAATAAAAATTAATTCACTTCAATCATCTCGTGCCCTCTGCGTTCGCCCCCCCCCTTCTCGTCCTTTCATCCTCTTCGTACTATTGCTCTCTTAACCGTTATTTCCATTGTTTGCCCTCCCGCCGGAATGATCAGCTTCGACGTATAGCAATCGTTTCTATCGGGACGTGAAATCGATACGAACGAAAAAAAATTCGTACTTTTTTGTACTCGTGCCGCCACCACTGCCGATGATACGTGTACAGTGAGAATGAGAAGATTTGATTTCGTATACGGGAACTTGTTCTGCCTCATGTGTGTGTATACGTAGCTCCGAAACATTTCGGAACGATTCTGCATGGTCTTTTTCCGCGCGTCGGAATTGAAATCGATCGCACAATATTTTTATATTTGCGAATTTCAATCTATATCAAAAGCATTATTTCTGTTTTATCGAAACAGACAGTAATGAGAACGATTTTGAAGAAACATCATTGAAAAATGAAGTATTCGCACTAAATCGCAAAGAATTGATATATTACCAGCTTCCTAGATTTCATCGAGCAACAATTTCCGAAAAAATTATATATATACACGGACATACATAACACATCGTACAAAGGATGCGGCACACCATTTTACCCATAATACCGCATCCAATACGTGCGGCCTCTCCTTTACCTCTGTACAGCTGCGACGGACATCGTCGAGCTTTTTCCTCTGCGTCCTTCTCTTCCTCTCACGTCTTGTGAGACGTAGTCTTGTATAAGCCGACGTCTGATAGCCGCTTGCCAGAAACTTTCCTTGGATTTGCGTGGAACCGCACTCTACGAAAACTTTTAGTTTAAGCAGCCGGAATTCTATACTAAGAGAGAGAAAGGGAAAGAGAGTTGTCAATAAAAACCTTCGGAAATTTTATCGATCTGACTTTTTATTTTTTATAATTTTATTTATTTAATTTATTTATATACTTTCAATAGCTTGCGGACATTGCCCTCCACGTTTGAATGTTTACTTTCCAAATACAATGAGCTTGCTACGAAAGTCGCTTAGATAATTATGGAAAAGACCTCTTAAGAAATTCGAAAACGCGTCAACCTATACAAGAAAAAAAGAAACGCGACAGTTTTTTTGTGTGCAATTGCCAATCTATCATAGCATGAGGATGGTATGTGTATTTCTTTTTCAGATAAAAATTACAGAAAATAAAGTTTGTTATTTTTTGCGGAGAAAAAAGTATATACGATTAGGCAGCTGTACGTGACAAGAAGAGCCTGATTCTCGTCCGTAATTGATTTGATCAGAAAATAGCCCCGCCACGACCACAAAAATCGCAAGCCGCCAAGCAGTAGCAAGGCCTACGTCAATGCGTATCGAGATAAGGTAATTTTTGGAGACATCCTTGAGTACAAAATTAATGAATTAATTAATATTGATTGATTCTCTCGTGCAAGCTTACAGCCACGAGCATTCCACGGTACCGAATGCCTTCTAGACTGGCCTATATTTTCCTCCATCTGTAACAGAGATACTGATATGCTATCGTAGAACGTTGAAATGTAAAATGGAAATTGAATTAGCAGTTCCTTTTTTTCACCGTTTAGACTTTTTTTCATTTCTCTGAGCTCTCCGCTTTTTTCTGCCAACCATACTAGCTACATCCACACAATTTTCGTTCTTTGTCTCTGTTCTCTTTTTTGTGGTTTTTTTGGCTCCGTTCTTTTTTCACGCACTGATAGTTATCGAAAATAGCTTTTTGAATTCTTTCGTATTTTCTACATTGCGGCAGCGCATGATGGAACGGAAAAAAGAATTGATGGCATATTTTTATTGTCTTGATCGGTGGTTTCGGTGTAATTGAAACGCTGAAAGAAAGCATAGCAGTGAAATAGCCTTTGGACAAGGT